TTTTTTTTTTTTTTTTTTTGTGACAGTGTCTCACTCTGTCGCCCTGGCTAGAGTTCAGTGGCATCATCATAGCTAACTGCAGCCTAAACTCCTGGGCTCAAATGATCCTCCTGCCTCAGCCTCCTGAGTGCCTGGGACTACAGGTATGGGCCTCCACACTAACTTTTCTATTTTTTGTAGAGTCAGAGTCTCACTCTCACTCAGACTGGGTGGAACTCCTGGTCTCAAGTGATCCTCCCGCCTTGGCCTCCCAGAGCGCTAGGAGTTATGGAATGATTTTTATGTCTTTTGAATAAAAGAGGAAATGTGAGGCTTGAATTTTCTGTTTGTATTTTGTAAAATTTTTTTAGTAAATTATGTTACTGCATTTTACAGTAATATTAATCCACAGTTTTTGGAATTTTTTTTTTAAATTTCTTCTTTATCAGTAGTTAGAGAAAAACTGATCTAGAGGCCTTTCTTCCCATGTGTTCACATGTATGTATGCCCACATTCGTGGTTCAGTGGTTTCCTTCTGCAGACAGATGAGCTAGTGTGATTGTTCTCACCTTTGGGTGTGTCCTGCCAAGCTCTGACATAGAAATAAAGTAGTGGGAAACCAATCTCACTATACAGTCTTATCACTTCCTTGAACTGAACACTACCAGAAATAAAGTTCGTGTTTTTATATCCACTTGTCTGGCTTCTATGCCTATCTCTCAATTAGTTTGCAAGAGGAAATAGACAGAGATGTATGATTAATAATTAATCTTCAAAGGCCCACAATAGCATCCACTATGAGACAGTTCATAAACCTCTTCTATGGATGTTCAAATCCATTCCCTACATTTGCTGAACATTTTGGTTTATGAGTGCCCATATTTCTCACTGCCAAGCCCTCTGATTAATGCCATCATTAAAATGGATGATTCTTCCACAGACTTTTACAAATCTTTGAAACAAATGGTTCCCCACCTAAGCTCAGGCAATCTCCTCTGGCTGGCAGGTCTCAACCCCTTATTCTTGAAGCTCAATTTCTTTTTTTTTTTTGTTCCAATTATTATTATTTTTTTATTTCAGCATATTATGGGGGTACAGATGTTTAGGTTACATAAGTTGCCCTTGCCCCACCTACCCCCCAATTCAGAGCTTCAAGCGTGTCCATCCCCCCAATGGTGCGCATTGCACTCCTTATGTATGCATATACCCATCCCCTCCTCCCCACTTCCACCTGACCAATACCCAATAAATGTTGTTTTTATATGTGCGCTTATGTGTTGATCAGTGAAACCAGTTTGCTGGTGAGTAGATGTGGTGCTTATTTTTCCATTCTTGGGATATTTCACTTAGTAGAATGTGTTCCAGCTCAATTTCTTTTTGTTCCTCAAGACACATGACAGAAATAGGCTCTTCCAGAAAGCTTTCCGTGACTCCAAAGAATGGTTGAGGAATCTTCCTTTGTGCTCCTACAATACCATACTCCAAACATTGCAATATATAACATTAAATTATCTTTGTAAATTATCTATATGTATGGTTTACTCTTCTTGCTAAGCTGTAAGGTTCTTGCTTATAAACAGTGTGTATACTTGTTCGATATCTCTACTTTTTAGTTTGTATGCATTTTCTTTCATATAACAGGTGCTTTGTGAATGTTATTGGACTAAAATTATGATAGATAAGACATCTGTAACTTTTTTTAATAATATAGCTTAAAAATGGCAAATACAAGGAATAAAAACCCTCAACTGCCTCCTTTGTTCAAAGACATATACTGTAAATCTATTCCATCACACATTTTTAATAAGCCCTACATGAATTTCCTGAACACAGAAACTACCCCTAATTGTCATGGACATATGACATAGAGCATATATGCAATATTTGGTCCAGGTACAAGTTGCAAGTATCTGGGTTAAGGTGAAGACAAATGGGATGGGAGAGTGAGCAGGTCTAAATCCAAAGGAATAAGGAAAATCTGAAGAATGGTTAGATGTGGAAAGTCTGGAAGAGAAGGTGCTAGGGACACATTCATTGATCCCTACTATTTATAAAATACTGTACTAAATTCTGAGTGTGGGAAGATAAAAGAACACACAATTTCCCTATTAATACCATCTCTAGTACAAGTTGGGAAATTTAAACAATGGGGAAATACATAGGTTGAGACAATTTATGTGTGGGAAAGTTGCCTCCTGATTTTTGTATGATTATCATTTTTGCAAACAAACCAGAACATGTAATTTCATTCATGCTCTGATAATGGCACAGGAAAATTTGGAACTTTCCTCACCAGACAGAGCCATTGGCAGCTAAGGCAGTAAATCTGAACTTGGGGAAAGCAAAACTGAGCCTAACCTCTTTTCTTCTTCCATAAACAGTGAAGAGGAAGGAGGATTTTAAGTGACAAAATGATGAACTCAGTTTTAAACATGGCGTGTCTGAGGTGAGAATGGCAGCAGAAATTAGTAAAGATACTAACATAGCAGCTAATATTAGAACAGCATTTACAATCTTCCAAGTACATCCATGTATATTATTTTTTTAATCTTAGCACTTCCCCTGTGAGCTCATAGCGCAAACACTGAAATGATCAGAAAGATCACATATAAAAACTGAGATACAGCATTGCAGTGAAGAGTTCAAGAAGCCATAGAAATAAACAAACTCTCTTGGGGAAGAGGGTAGAAAAATAATAGCAGACAACTGGGCCAGAGAGAGACAGTGGGAAAAGGAAAAGAGACAGAACAGGCAGTCATCCCCTTGCTTTATTGTGTTTTTCTAGGTCATTAGTCTTTCATGGGAGCCATTCTTGCGTGTCAGGACATAATCATGTATTCGAACTCCTACCAGGATTAAAGGAGTATGTACTTTTAAATTATCTCAGCTCAGAGTCTACTTATTTATTATTCCTTCAATAAACTTTTTAAAATATCAGCTCTGGGCCAATCCATGTTCTTAGCAAAATGGAAATAACCAGATGACAATAAGAGAATACCAGAAAACCTCCTGTTATCTGTGAGTGTTTTTAGCAAGCTGGCACAGAAAGCAGAATCTCCCTACAGTTGGATGTGTCATAATTTTATATAACTGGAGTTCATATAGATGTAGAGAGTGGAATTGTGGTTACAGGAGGAGACAAGAAGTGGACGGGCAAAGGGGAGACGTTAGTCAAAGGGTGAAAATTTCAGTTAGAAAAGAGAAAGAAGTTCTAGTGATCTATTGTACACTATGGCTACTATAGTTAAAAATAATGTACCGTATACTTCAGAATTGCTAAGAGTAGATTTTAAATCTTCTCACCACAAAGAAATGATAAATATGAGAGGTGATGGATATGTTAATTACCTTGATTTAATCATTCCCTGATAAATACATGCATAATAACATCACACTGTTCCACATAAATACATATATTTGTTATTTGTCAATTAAACATTTTAAGAATAACTAAAAAATAAATTATTTAAAATTTTAAAAGATAGAGTGCATAACAACCATATTGCTCATTATAGCTGCAAATTACAATTTCCAAGTTTTATTGTTCTTTCCATTTAGAGTAATTCAGCTGACTGTTTTTACTTCCTTTTTCCTAATCACATGATCATATCCTGTACAACCCCCTGTTCTACAAGCAATGAGGTCTTCAAGTATTTTTCATACATAGGACCATTTGCTCATGTAGATCATGCCACTTTCCTGCTACACAAAAGCAGCTAAAAGCAGTTCTCTCTTTAAATAGCATTTGCTTCTTCATTCTTGCCACATTTCTGTACACCATGAACTTTTCCTGGCTTGTCCATCGCCCAGTGGAACATCATTCCATACCCTTGGTAGAGAACAAAAGTATGACTTTATCTCTGATCTGCTTGGTCTTCACTCCATACACAATGGGGTTGAGTGCAGGTGGGATAACAATGTACAGGTTGGCAAACATGATGTGGAAAGTGTGGGAGACATTGTGTCCAAAGCGATGGGCAAGGATGGAGAAAAAGGCAGGTGTATAGAACACGAGGATGACACAGACATGGGAACCACAGGTGCCAAGGGCTTTCTGGCGGGCTTCTCGGGAGGGGAGGCGAAAGACAGCACAGAGGATGAGGGTGTAGGACACAGCATCTGAGATGACTGTCATGATGGGAACACAAAAGCCATACCAGATGTTGATGGAGATATCAGCACAAGCGAGCCGGGCAACACCTATATGCTCACAGTATGTGTGGGGAATGATGCGTGTCCTGCAAAAAGGCAGGCGTGTCAGCAAAAATACGTCTGGCAGGATGATGCAGAAGCTTCGAAAGGCAATGCCCACCACAATCTTGATGATGGTTTTGTGGGTCAAGATGGTGGTGTATCTCAAGGGAGAACAGATGGCCACGTAGCGATCAAATGCCATGGCCATCAGAATGGCTGAATCCAGGACAAAGCTATAGTGGAGGAAGAACATTTGTGTAAGGCACCCTGGGAATGTGATTTCTCGAGCCCCCAGCCAAAAGATACTGAGTGTTTTAGGCACACCAGCTGTGGACAAGACGAGGTCAGTCATGGCCAGCATAGAGAGAAAGAAGAACATGGGTTCGTGAAGGCTACGCTCCATTGCAATGAGGTAGAGAAGGATACAGTTTCCCATAATGGCTACGATGTAGATGATGCAGAAGGGAATCCCAATCCACACATGGAATTGCTCCAGGCCTGGGATCCCCACCAGGATGAAGAGTCCTGCGTTGTAACTGCTCAGGTTGGAAATGATCATGGCAGACCAAGATGGCACCAGTCTCAAGTCCTGAAGACAGATGGTGATAAAGGATAGTTAGAGAAACTTGAGTCATTCTCATTTCCAGACAGCCATCATTATTTACTCCTAAAGACAGAGTGAACATATAGTTTATCATTCAAGTCGGACCCCTTTGAAATCCCACTGCAAAGTTGAAATTTATAATAATGGCAGCCACATGCAAAACCCAAGATTGTCCCAGATACATGTGGATGTACAGTTAGTCTACCTAAGGAAAACTTCTGTCTCTTGGCCACCCACAATAGTTTACACAACTTCTCCAGAAAACCTTGCAGACTGGCCACACTCATCATTGTACACTGTCTTCTGATACAAGTTATCAAAATATAGGATATTTTTTTCACAGGTTAGTGGATTATGGTTTATATGACTTTATGAACATCATTGCAGTACTTGCTCTGTCATTGTGTAATGTCAATTTCTGTCTGAAGACAATCATTTGCTTTTCTCAAGGCCACCTGATGACCATGTCTCTTAAATTTGTGAGATCAACCTCCTTCATTGCCATCCAAAATCCTAATTCAGTTAAGCAAACACTTGCAGAGTTCCTACACTAAACTAGGTAATAAGTGTAACTCAAATTTAAGTTAGAAAAATCCCCTATAGCTAGGCTAATGAACCCTTTGTTCTCCAAAAAAATAGTTTTCCAGCACCATGTTCTACACAAGTGTGTAATATCCTAATACTTTAGACTTAGTAACCCAGTCAGTTAGGATTTCTGTTCAAAAGGATTGTTTCTTTGTGAATAAATATTCTATTAGATGGACACATTGACCCAAGATATATATTCTCTCACTTAATACTTTTCCACTGAGAGCAAACAATTCATCTACTGCTAACACTAATGACCTGGTTAGGTTGTTGGAGCCTTCATGTTGAAAACCCCTCTTCTATGCTACTTACATACACAAAAAACATATGGCTTCAGCATCCTGAAACTATACTTTGAATCATAGCTCTCCCAGTCTGTTTGAAGTCATCCTTTGTTTATACATATGTGGGGAAAGGTCTTCTCTAGTTTTATATTTCCATTCACTGAAATACAAATGTGTATGTGCAGTCATCCAAGAGCATTCACAAACACCTGGGCACACACACAGAAAGTGAACTCTCAGGCTTCTCATCTACAATCAGACATATCCACACTGTGTGACAATACACAACACAATCTTATTTTTTTCTTTCAACAAGCCAATGACATTAAAAGGGATAGGAGGGAGGGTATTAACTGAGGAAAACACATTTCTACATTAAAATAAATTTAAGAAAATGAACAATCAAATCAATGTGGTTCTTGATTGGATTTGTTTTTTAAAAAACCCAGCTATAGAACTCAATTAATGAATAATTAGGAAAATTTAAATACGATCTAGGTATTAGAAATATAAAGGAATTAGTGTTAATTTTATTAGATGTGATTGACATTATGATAGAGACACACATTCACACATGCATACTCACACACATATGCACAGGTGTCCACAGTACTTCGTTAAAACACTTACACAGTATATATGCTCTCTGGAGCCTCAGAAAGCTAGATCCCAGAACTTAATTTAATCCTGGTTCAACAATTTACTAACTTTGTGAATTTGTGCAAGCTGTTCAAACTTTAAGATCCTTGGATTCATAAGGACCATAAAGTTAGGATAGAATATTTAATTCCTTATAAAAGGAATTTCCATCTCTAATTCTTACAGTTATTATCAGGATAAAATGATAAAGACCCCCAAAGAAGCTTTAATGTAGTCTGGAACATAGTAAGCACATAACAAATTTTACCTTTTTTTATTAGGTTATATTTTCTAACACTAGTATTATCATTAGCAGTCAGACTACAAGTGAAGGAGAGAGCACAAATAGGCAGATGCATAAATGCTAACAAGAGCACCCCTGGGCACACACACATACCAGCACACTTAATTCTACTCTTAGGTTAGGGTTATGAGTTCTTGTCATATGTCTGAAACAGAATTGTCTGAGCAATACTGACTGTGGCCATACTTCACCAGTCGTGTAGTTGTCCATCCGTTCTGATCTTTTGGTGCACATTCAGTGGAGCATACACACAAGTACTGGAGACCGTGTCCTTGGTTCATAAATGGGAGTTGCTCAGGGAAGAAAGTTATAGTGCCCATCATGGCCCCTAGGAAGTACAGCCCTGGGCTTTTCACTCGCTCCCTGTCTTCCTCCAATCCTTGTTCCAATCCAGCCCCCTCAAACAACCAACACTCACCGAATCTTGGGGATTGGGCTAAAGGGAAAGAAGAGTGTGCTGACGGACACATAGAAAATCTGCCAGGTGGCAGACACACGACCCAAAGAACAGAGTGGAGCAGAAAGGAAGAGCTGGTAGAGAGCTTGATTCCCTGCCCATTTATTTTCCCTGACCACTGCTCAATCTAGGGAAAATTTAAGTAGTTAGGGCCTTAGGGACTTTGATGCCTCTCTTCTCAGCCTCACAGGAAAAAGATGGAGAAGTTTCTATTAACCCTGTCCATGCTTTTGTGTTAACACTACCTCGGGGTGCTTTATTTTATTTTGTATTTGCATATTAGCTGATATGTACCCGCCTATCATATAATCCAGGTTTCAAACTCATGTCCCCACTTAGAATAAAGGACTTTGGACAAGTTAGTTAATCTCCATAAAGAGGTGCTTGTATTAATACCTACTTGTTACAATTGTATTAATGTAAGGATTGACAAATTAAGAAGGCGAAAATGCTTCCAAAATGTTCTGTCAGCACACTTTTTCTTCTTTCACTTTTGCCTGATCCCCAAGATTCAGTGAGTCTTGGTTGTTTGAGGGGGTTTGATTCAGACCAGATTTGGAGGAAGACAGGGAGTGAGTGAATAGCCCAGGGCTGTATTCCTAGGGGCCACGGACTGGCCCCTTGCGAAAATGCTGAACATGGCGGCAAACTCATAGTGTAGATGAATAATGTAGGGCACCTGTTAAGGTGAAGTTCACGTGGCCCACTTCAAAGTATTCTAATACTAATTTTTAGAGGAGGTGGCTAGAATCTGTGTTTATAAGTTCTGCAGTGGATGTGTATGCTTTGTATTTTTCACTGGGGGACCAGTATGCAGGTGGATGTAAGCAGAAAAACTGGAAAGCAAGAAAGTTGGTTAACTATCTCTGTTGGGGCTGATTTGGAAAAAGTCCTGGATGCCATTTTCTTTGAAAGACTCCTGGGGATGTGCCTGGGTCCCGGGGTGGGGAGCCCCTAATGGCTACTTCTTTGAAACATCTTTGGCTAAATGTTCCACTTTATTGTCCAAACCATCATGCCCTAAACTGTATCCAGTATCCCCTAAACCTGCTCTTCTTTCAGGGCTGCTAAGTTCAGAAAACAGTACCTCACTACTCATAAAGATTCTTTTTTTTTTGCCAATTTTTATTGTTGTTAAAATATTTTCTAAATTTATTCTTTCTCAGTTTCTACTGCCCAACTGCTATTATCTCTTGTCTAAATTGCTCTAGTAGCTTCTTCAGAGATCATCTTATTTCCATTTTTGTCTTCTTCAGTGTATTTTCCACACTGCAGACTGACTTCTTTCTAAAGTGTACATCTGATCATGTCTTTTCTTAGCTTAAATGTCATTTTGTTGCAATCTCAGGATCTCTGCACTTGCTATTTCTTCTACCTTTATTTATCTTCATCCTACATTTGTGTGATTGCCATATTACAGTTTCATTATTGAGAATTCAACTCAAATTGAAAGTTTATTATAAATTTTTATTAGTAAAGACAATATAAGTACATAAAATGTATCCCTATGGAGAAACTGTTGAATCTGCCTGTTGATGCTGTCATTAATTTCTGGAGGCCCAGATCTTAATTTTTACTGAATAGGCTCTTATCCCACAATTCTGACACCAAGTCAATTTTCCTGAGTTTGGTTAATCCAGTCTCTCTATGTATGCCTACAAAGATATTCAACATAACCCTGAGTGGGAGGGTTCCAAAATTGCAAATTTGTTTTCATTTATCTCATTCATAGATATGTTTCCTTCTGCTTGGACACAGCATACTAATTCCATTTTCAATGGCTATCTTTTTATACCAAATATTGCAAGACTAATAAAATTTATTGAAAATGCCAGTCTAATGCATGCCAGAATTTGTTTAATATATACAAGTTGAATTTTCTTGGGTCATTATTTTTATAGAAAGAGTAGGTAAGCTTAAGACATGAAAATTTCTAATTCTTAACTTTGATGTACTCTTTGTCCTCTTATGAAGAAATGTTTTATTTTATTTACTTATTTGTCTTTTGACTATGGGCTGTATGGAGAGGAGCTGGTACTAGGTAACATGCATAAATATTGTATTAACACTCAAACACCTGATACACACGTAAGATTACATTGAACTTAGAGTTTAATTTTGTCATAAGAACTTGGACTAACAGAAATAGTTTGCTCAGGAATCAGTTAATAATTTCCAGTGGACTGAAATAGAAATATGCTTAGCTGTCCCCCTCTTTATTTACAGTTTGCACTGTAAATATTTAAACTGTGTCTGCCACCCTTTACAAACACTTCAATAACAACAACACACCAATTACTTTACACACAAAAGTTATGATTCTGTTAGCATGATCTAGGAACAGTGCCTTCACTGCTATCTACTTATCATAAAGAAGTACAAATCAAATATTTTAAAATGGAAGTTCCCACAATTCAATTACCACCACTTGTATAGCAATTTGTTTAATTTGAAATCCTGTTGGTATTTTTAAGTGACTAAGTAATGAAATGATTAAGATGGAAATTTCTTATGTATGTTTTCATATTTTATACATGTTACTTTTGGTACCTATTTAATTACCTCAACTTGCAATTACCTATATTTTACAACAAAGAATCAAAGTTATTTTACAGGGACTCCTTAGCACCATGGAAAGGTATTCTGTTGGTTTATTTCTGATTGTAGTTGAGTTTGCCTTTCCCTTAGCCTGTTTAAAATGTTGTAGTTTTCTTTGGTCAA